TTAAGTATGTGAATTAATTATGTATAAATAAAGAAATTAAGTGTAAGTCACCTACACAGTTACGCAGTGTAATTTTGCAAAAAAACATCTTTGTTTTTTGTGCATAAAAATCTTAAGTACTAAAACTATAAATAAGCTTTCAGATAGATATTTCTAAATCAAACATTTTGTTTTCATTATAAACAAACATTATGTTCATTCATCAAGAACTGTTCATTCAAATATCATTCATTCTTTTAAAGTCGCATCCCTTATTTTGTGTTGGTGTACGCTCGAACAACTGCATAGTTACATAAAAATTGTTTGCATGTGTGCGTTTTTTTGTTTGTGTAACGTAATTTTTGAAGTGTGCGTTTATAGCAACAACACGCTCGTGTTTGTGGGAGTATTGCATATTTTCATTAGTGTGCTATAAGTGTGTACCTCGTCCCGCGCCAAAAATGGTGAAAAATTTTGTTCGGCGAGTGAACGGTATGGCGTCGCCAGTGGTATATGCTCTAAGCTTATAAAGGATGATAAAGACATACTGTTGTCAAGTTTACGAATAGCCAAGTGAAGGGCCGCTATTATAAAGCATCTGGTCTTCTTCAATTATTAGTAAGTAGACGCGTGCCATTGTGAATAAAGAATCTCACACACTGAAGTGTTTCACAGACATGCGGTAGCGGCCAGATGTGTCCCCTTACATTCATCGAGCACATACCCAAATTGGAATGTGTTCGATGAATGTAAGGGGAAATAATAAATGTGTTTAAATAATAACCAAAATTCTGATTTTCAACTGTTATTCCCTTACGTGTAATGGTTAATCACTTGACATTGGCGGAGCTGTGATAAGCTACTACGCAAGCTATCATAAAAAGAAGAAATTAATTTTCTGGATTGTGATTGGTTATATAAAAAACACGTAGCTATAATGCGATTCAACTAAGAATAGGATCGACTGGGCGCCATTTTGTGATGTCAAAGCTGTCAATTGAAACAAAATAGGTAGAGTGAGCAATAAAAGTTTTTTGACAGATGGAGGTCATTGGCTTTCCTATTCTTATTTGAATCGCATTATAATTGTTATTATCATAACATATAAATTACTAGCTGTACCCAGTGGCGGCGCTAGACCACATGTGGACGTCGGCGACATCAAGTTCGCGAGGCCTATTTTACTTCGCAGTAAAAAACCGTTAAATTAAATGAGCCAAATTATAAAATAACGTAAGAGTAAACGAGTTTTATTGTTGATAATCAAATGATGACAAAAAAAAAAAAATTTAATTACAAAAATAGTGTTGCCAGACAGACGATTCTGAATACCCGTAAAGTACTACTCGCTTCCATCACGCACGTGTTCGCGAATAATAAAAGTCATTATCATATTCTTAGCTTTTTCCCCAAATTGTTCGGGATCGGCTACCTAAGCCAGGCCAGGAGAAACGAAAATAAATAGGTAACTTGTAAAAATTTTTTGCGAGGCCCCCTCAGGCGCGAGGCCGTCGGCAGTGGCCGACGTGCGCTAGCCGCCACTGGCTGTACCCTGCCACGCTTCGCAGTGGCACATTGTGAGATATGAGAAACAAAACAAAGAATACATTTCATATAAGTTTAATTTTGCAATACTTGTGGATATACAATATTTTTTGTTTTTCCACTGTCTGCGTAGATATAAAGACTATCTGGTTTGCCGACTCGGGAACACGATTATTAAAAAAAGATTCACTTCAATAATAAATATGTTTTGTTATTGATTAATTATTTAACTAATATTTTACTTATTAATTTAATTGATTAATATTAAATAAATAATAAATGCAAAAAAATAATATTTTTACTGTCCATCTTTGATATAAAATATAACCTCTACTTACGATTTGGTGAAAGACGCAGTTCAATCACAACACTATCACACCAAAAATTTTTGATTTAAGTGAATATTTAATTCAGATTGTATAATCATCAGAATCAGATGCATTTTTTTTGTAAATAAACAATGTAATTAGGAACGAAATTGTTTCTCATGTGACTCCGTCATTACTATTGCGGTTGTCAGCGAGTGTTTTCCTCGCTTCTGGCAGATGGCGCGGTCATTGGTACACAGCTGATCGATAAAAAAACTGTTTTCTCGCGGTCTTGACGCGGATTTTATATCATGTTAAAATTTCAACTCAATCGGTGCAGAACTTTTTGAGTTTTTGAAGCGTACACAAACCAACATAACATTTTTATATATAGGGTGAAATTGAATGTTTCTATGAAACTTCGTGAGATTGTTGGGTTACGTGTATAGAGTATGCCTGATTTTTTTCGGATTTTTTAAAATATTTTTTTTTCGTTTTTTAATTTTTTATTTGGTTATTTTTTTGTCATTTCTTCCTTATGAGTAATTATTCATTTTAAACACGTCTACATAGAAGTTGTAAAGCAACTTAAAATAAGCACTCCTAAAAAAACGGAAAACTTAATAATTGCCTCCAGTCGAGATCAGCGCCGGCCGGGGCGACGACCGGCGGCCGCCTGTGTAGGTACCTACTACACGCACAGACTCAGACTCGGCGCTTACCTACTTTCCGTTTTGATTCCACACTATTTAAAAACATTACAATAAAATAGTCTTAGATGCTATATTATAATTATTTATTCACTGATACACAATACCTTTGAATATTATTTCACAAAGCACAGGTAATTAATCAATAAAATAAATCTTCTGTTAGAGCAATTAAAAATCCTATAGAGTTAATATGACTGTCACGATTTTAAATCGGTAAAGCCTGTCTCTGTGTAAGAACTTCTTTTTTATTGTTAATGTTAGTTGCCTCGTTTAATTAAAACTTAAGCACAAACGGCTTATTTAAAATTGGGAAAAATCATACAGAGCAAATCGGTATAACTTACGAGCTTAGTGAAGGAAGGAACTCTTCGTGTCCGATTTGCCCACGTCATGAAATTCCGAACACATTTAATCACAGCCACAGTCACACACACACACACACACACACACACACACACACACACACACACACACACACACACACACACACAATAATATGTTGTTTTGCGGCAAGCACGGACGGGCGGCGCGCCGCACGCTGGCAAGAAACATGCAGCGCTAGCGCCGGTTGCGGCGTCTTTGATGATGTGAATTCCGCCCACCTTCGCTCTTCCCCGCACGCGGTGCTTTGCTTTGATTGCATGCAAAGCGCAGTCGCAAGTATATCAATCGCGCGTAGGCGTGCGCATCTTTTGACTTAGTGACATACACTGTGATAATTTCATTATGCCTCGGTATACGAACCAAGAATATTTAGAGATGGTGTACTGCTATCGCGAATGTGACGAAGTAGGTTTGGTTTACGAATGAGTCCCCAAACCATAGAAGTTGCATTTTGTGCAGTGGGTAGGGACACTTTAAAAAAGGTGAAAAGACACGTCCGCAAACGTGCCTACCTTTGTTTGCAGCAAAATGGTGGTTTAGAGCAACAATTTTGCAGATAATAATTTAAGTCTCTTTTTATTGCTAGTGTAAATACTTTTTGATTTGAAAACAACTAATTGTGTACTACCAACCAGTGTGATTGATTTGATAAAAAGTTCTAGTGAAAAAAATGAATATGTTCCTCGTTCCTCGTTGTACCTACCTACATCGCCGGTCTCGTAAGTACTGTCTAATACCTGGTTATAAATTTCATTCTGACCCAAGTATTGAACTGCAATAAGTATTTCTTTGCCTATTTCCAATCATGACAAAATTATTATTAACTTTTAAAGTTTTTCTCTGCTTAAGAGAAGATGACATTTGTGCTTATTATTTCAATTTCAATAAGGGCATCTAAGACGATTTTATTGTATTGTGTGGAATCAAAGGAGTCAGCTGAGCTCTGTGTAGAGGTACCTACTCACTCAACGGCTGGCGGGCGCGGTCGGTCGTTGACCCGCGGTGGAATTTTTATGTTTTTTTTTTTTTAGAAGTGCTTATTTATTAGTTGTTTTTCACTGGATATGTAAGTTTGTTTGTTTAAAACGAATAACTACTCAAAAGGAGGAAAGGACATAAAAATACACAAATTATAAATAAATACATGAAAAAAATATACTTCATAAAAATTCGAAAAAAATCAGGCATACTCTATACACGTAACCCAACAATCTCACGAAGTTTCATAGAAACATTCAATTTCACCCTATATATAGATTATCTGTATTGCTATTAATTTAAATGTATGAATGGCATTTTTATGTGGTACAAGTAAATAATAAAATCCATATATATACTTGATGAATTTGGCGTATTTGCCTACATATAAATGCATGATAATACTTGAGGTACAAAATTGGGTACCTAGAGGTGTATGGAGAGAAGAATGGATCCTTTACAAATAACGATACACAAAAAGCCATGTGAGGTGCTGGCATAAAATGAACATTGGTTTCAGATGGGATAATGGATCGAGAAATTTTCTTTAGATATAAACATCTAGCAGTTATGTATACTAATAAACATTAATAATATGCATGCATTTCGCTGTTTTTACCCGCTCGTTTCGATATGGATATTTTTACGGAAGGCATGCACACACACACATACAGGCTACATACTTATTTACACAAATTTAGTTATCATGATCCTTTTATAATTTTGATTTATATAGGTATTTATATTTTATATTTTTATATTTATCTCAAAATTAATTTTAATCTTTGTTGGTATTTCTTTTATATTATTGTTAATTCGTAATTTCTACCCTACGTAATCAGTTTAATTGTTGAATTGAATACAAAGTGAGTTTCTGTAATTGGCTAAAGCACCGTTTAAAATTTTATATTAGATTATATTATTGTTGAAACTTGTTGATGATAAATAAATAAAAATTAAAGATGGCAAGATCGATCTCCAAAAAACAGAATGCGTCACAGCCGCATTCAAAGAAAAACAACGAAAAAGATACAAAACATGGCAGGCTGTACGGACGCAGTATTCTTTATCTTCATTTAAAGAGAAAATATTACCAAAAACTTTCACTGTCACATTCGTTCTATTGGATTTGATTTGGAATTTTGGATTCTGTCTTTTCTGATACTGGGTACCAACCTAGTTTCGTTATTATTGCATTTCAAACAAATATAATTTCTTCATACGAAAATGCCCGTTCCCGGTGGAATTTACCAAAATCAAGGGCCAACTTGCTTTGATAAGATGAAAATGGGATTCATGATAGGGTTCTGCGTCGGAATGGCCAGCGGTGGTCTATTTGGTGGCTTTACAGCCCTGAGGTTATTCATATTCATTACTAACAAAGCGATAAAATATAACCTTAAGCTACTCAGGGACAATGTAGGATTAAAATGCTGTTTTTTTAATTGGTGCTTTAGCTGTAGAGATTATCTATACTTACATGCATAGTAAGAGTAGTAATTTAGATTAAGGTTATTCAAATTATACCTAAATCTGAAATGTTTGCTTTATTTCGATTGTAGGTATGGAGCCAGAGGACGAGAATTGGTTCATTCTGTTGGTAAAGTTATGCTTCAAGGTGGAGGAACATTTGGAACATTTATGGCAATTGGTACTGGAATCCGTTGTTGATCTATTCAATTATATTTTGTACATACGAACTTAAGAACTGATAGTACCTATGTTATTTAATTCTAATAAAAACCTACAACCTCACATTGTCAGAATGCTTGATGGAAATCCAACCAATAATTTATTTTACGGAGTATTAAATTTACTTAGACTGCTATATTAACTTAAACAGAATTTAAGTTTATTATGTGTAAAGTGCGTTATGATGCTCTGTTTACTCTGCTTTATCAGTCCTGGCTTTGACAGGGGGTCAACTTTATTTTACAACTAAAATATTTATTATGTTACTCAGAGATAAAGTAGCATTCCAAAGATGAAATAATTTTTAAAATTAATCCAGTAGTTTTGAAGTCTATTCATTACAAACATAGAATAATAACAACCTTTCTCTTTTATAAAATTCTTGCAAGATTTACAATTGATATAAAATTAACATTAGTTTCAATTGAAATCCACTGAAACAATGTTTATTTATTTTATCAAAATTCATTGGCTGTACAGCTGCTAGTGACCTTAACTAACAGTAAAAAAGTGACCATGTGCCTATTACGATTTCCTTGTTAGGGATCTCGGACTATGTAATTTGCTATGAAGTAATTAGGTATTTACAACAGTGTACAAAAAATAATATAACACTTATAATGTCGAAAATTACTTACCTTGGCTGGAAATTAAGCACTTGCCTGTGTCTTGTGCCTGATGTCAGCTTCAAATATAATTTTCAACTTAGCTCACTTTTACTTACGTTTTATTAATTTTCAATATACCAAAACCTTTAAATTTAAAATGTATTTTTTTCCATTTCAAATTACTGCAGTTAAATGTTTTTTTTAAAGACTTAAAAATGCCCATGTGCTATTACTCTTATAAAGCTTTGTTTCCACTTAAGTGCATTTGTTTTTTAAGGAGACTAGTGTATTTATTAAGACTATTGAAATTGATTTTCCTAATTTAAAATATGAATTAATTGCAACATTTCGGTAAGACCAAGCACATGCATGTTTACAATTTTCCCTATTTAAATTGGTTATAAAACATTGTTTTCTTGTTTTTATAATATGGTCAAGCGAGCATCTAAATTGTGAATACAATGAGTCTGAACATAGAGCAAGAACTATCTGGCTTATTGTCAACCCATCTCATGTCAACTCCGTTTTTCTAAAGGACCAGCCAGTATATAAAGTAGCAAAATCTACAATCTGCTTGCGACATAATGGACAAAGAAAATTTGCACAAACGCATGTTAAGTGTCCTCCAATGGGTTTAAAATTAGGTGACATAAACTACCAGCAATTCAAAAATATTGCCCTTAAATTAGTGCTTTACAATTTTATAGAAAAAAAGTTTGTCCATGAATCTCAACAGAACAGTTGATACGTCTTTAACACGACCATCTCGCCTTGTCCAGTCTGAATTAATATTCAGTATTTACAACTAGCCTATTTCACATCTGTTCTAAATAATATATTTTTTTTAGAACTGATCAACCTTTGTTTGAACCAAAAATTTAATTATGCTTTGGAATGCAAATTTACTGACCTTCTTTTGCCAGACCAATAACTCCATCTAATGGAGCAGTATTGCCACTTTTGATATTGCTTCCAAATGACAAATGATTTATTGTATGTGTTGTGTTAAAAGCAGATGAAGAGAATGGCTGCACATCATGTACATGAACATGATTTATAGTAAAACTTTTCCCTGGTGCTATGTGAAAACTACCTCCTACCTGAAAATGCGAAGTAAAATTTTGTAAAAGAAGTATTAAATCTAAAAAGATACAGATAAAAAGCTGATTCACATCATTAACCACATCAGCGTGTCCTGCTGACACATAGGCCTCCTACAGGTTTTTCTACTCAGGCCTGTGTCTTTGCCTTTTGAGGTCTTCTGTGTTTTCTTTATAGTTTTGAACCTTTGGGTCCATTCTGTGGTCTTCCTTTTCCATTTCTCCCTTATTTCTATTATTATGTGGTCTGCCCACCACCATTACAAAAGTCTGACTTTCAATACTATGTCTTTGAACTTAGTGACTTTCCTAATGTCAGTGGCCCTATTCTTATCTTTCCGGCGATGCCCTAGGATGATTCTTTCCATGCTTCTCTGACAGGTTCTTAATTTATTTTGTAGTACCTATTTATGTCATGGCCCAACATACGGTTGTAAAACTTGGGCCAAACTACAATACTGTTACTCAGATTACAGAATAAAAGGTCTCTCTACTGAGTTGTCCTTCAAATTGCAGCTTAAATAATGTGTGATATGATGCAATACCATTACAGAGCTGTCAAAATTTGTGCTTGGGCTTCTGAATATACTTACTCTATTAACTTCCATATAGCCAAATATCTGACAACCTTCTTTTAGGGCTAGATTTGTTTTTTCTATTGATTCATCATCTTTGCATTGTTCAATTGTTGCAAGATTTGGCAAAGCCCATCTTCGTAGCCTATAAGCTTCTTTAACATCTTCACATGTATTACAGCATCTACATTAAAATATCATAAATTACTTTCCAGAGTATTTATAACTTTACACTATTATATTAACTCTTAATACTTACTGTGTTTCATTGAATGCAGCTCCATAACAGCTTCCACATTCGACTTTGGCAACACTGGTATTCTTGTGATTGATCTGAAAATAAATCAAGTAAGCTTTGTTATCATACCTTGCATGAAACAGCTTCATGGCAATTAAAAAAAAGAGATAATCATTTTAATGCAATATTTTTAATTACTATTTGCGATGAAGTGATGAAATTTTCTTTCTTTGGCTCTTCAATAGGATTTCCATCCAGATCTATTCTTCTTTTATGTATGTTATGGTCCATTTGGAGATGTTGTTCCCCTGAGGAGTCCATTGCATCCAATACCAAATCTATAATATTAATGAATTAACTGTTTACATAATAAACATAATAGGGTATGGTATTTGTGCAAGTGCATTGACAAATTAACAAAATGTTCAAAAATAGAATTACTCTTGTAAGCAGTACTTTTTCTGTTCTTAAAGTTATTAGTTAATCATTGAGCTTTTATTTTTATATACCAATTCAATAGCAATCAGTTGCTAATCCATGGCTCGTTTGATAAGTAGTATAACTGCCTTAGTTGATCTGTCTGATCTGTTAGCAGAAGCTCTGCAACTCATGAAAATTAGTGGGTAGGCAATTTTTTGTACCTATGTATTCAAACATCGCACTTGGTTATTTTTTTATTATTACTAATAATTGTGAACTTACAATCGCATGAAATTCTGGGTACGGTTATATCGAAATTTATACGAAGCTTATGACCTCTTGATGTATCAACAAATAATTCTTCGAAAATATTCGGAGACATGTACATACTAAGTTCTGATAGAAACAGCAAAATCATAACAAAACTTCCGGTGACGGTAACTGAAAGCAAACCATAAACATTTAATGAAGATGATTAACAAATTATTATATTAAAAATACTAGTAACATACGTACTTGCAGCACCAGTTGCAGTTTTTATTCTAAAGTCTTCCAAAGTTTTTGCATACGCGTCAAGTTGTTTAAACTTATCAATTATTGGTGAAGTCATGGTTTATTCGTGTTGTGGTTAATTATATTACTTTAGAGCATCAAGTTGTAACACATTTAATTAAATAAAAGAAAGTAATAAACCATTCAAATATATTTTAGTGGCCGCGAGCGGAGCCCAAACATAATCACGATTAATCCACAGACTAATTAGAGTTCCCTATCAGTGTTGCCAGGTCCGATATTTAAAAATCGGGAGGCGTTATAGAAAAAAACAGTAGATGTATGGAAAGAGCTACAAGAAAAAACAGTAGATACTGCGTACTACGGCGTACCCCCCCCCCCCCCCCCTAGAATTGGAAAATCAAGATATAAGCCACGTGTTTCTGTAGCTTCTGCCGCCCCTCAAAGCTCATTTTTTTAGACAGTAAGTAACATTTATTTTAAAATAATTAAGGTTACCGACATTACTAATGGAAGAAATTGCAACATAACACGCAATTTAAAAAAGGAAAATCGTATTCTAAGAAAAACAGGAGATTCATGTTGATAAACCGTAGAACAGGAGAAATTACAGAAAAACAGGAGATTTCCTGTAAAATCTGGAGACCTGGCAACACTGTTCCCTATGTACAAGTTACTCTATGTTAGAGATACTACGTGATTAATCTTATTAACCTGTGCTGGTTTTTTTTTAATATATGGCAATGTAAGAACATGCAACTTAATTTATTTGTTAATTATTTACATTTTACAATTTTTCTACAGTGTTGCATATAAAATTAAATATAGGTTTATAAAATAAATGGTTCCCTAAAAGTTTATGCAATTCTGTTGGTATGTCACAATCATTAGTTTCACAGATATTTTGCAGTTTCGATATTAAAATTAAACGTTGTACGTTGAACTTTTGACATTTCATAATAATATGTTCTAAATCTCCTATTTCTCCTGGACAAAATGTGCAGTTTGCATTATCCGTAATCCGTAATCGTGTTAAATGGGCCGGTGTTCTACAATGTCCAAATCGTAATCTGTTTATTGTTGTGATAAAGTTTCTTGAATCGGCGACTTTGCTTCTATGATACCATGGTCTTAGCGGCGGGGTGATCTGTATAGCAGTGTACCATTTCCCTTTTACTTCTGCTATTTTCTTCCAATAGGAATGCCATAGCCAAGTGACCGACTCTTTATCTGCTGGTGGAAGTCTGTTAATGGAATTTTGACTGCATCAGTTTGATTTTCATCAAATGCTCCTCTGGCCGCACCATCTGCCACTTCGTTGCCAATTATTCCACAATGTGAAGGTACCCATTTAAATAATACTCTTTTGCCTCTGTTTCCTAAATCTATTAACAACTTCTTAATATTAAACAACATATAATTTGTACTGGATTTCTGTACATTACTTTCTAAAGCTAGCAAGACACTCTTACTGTCAGTTACAACTAAAAAATTCAAACTATTTACATCAATTAAATACAATAATGTTCGGAAAATTGCATAGCACTCTGCAGTAAAAATACTACACCTAAAGTCTAATTTCACACAAAAAGTTTGATTAGTCTGAGAGTCATAAAATGCTGAAGTTACATTATCTGATGTTTTGGACCCATCTGTATACATAGTATAAACATCTTGCTGTTCATTTAAATATTGCAAGAATTCAGTTTGGTTAGATAATTTTTCCAAGTCAATATTAATACTGCTATTTATTGTTTCATAACTTGAAGAAAAAATGGGTAAAGGTTTTGAAATTTGTACATTATTGCAGCTGTTTTTTATATTCAATACAATTTTTATCATTTCGGGGAAGTGATCTGAGATAAGTTCATTAACACTTATGTCAGTATTGGTGGTCAAACTTGCAGGGAGGTTTTGACTTGGTAAAATTCTATTTAACACTAAATTATTATCAAATGCCAATAATTTAAGACAAAATTTCATTACAATCTGTAGCCTTCTTATTTTTAAAGGAACTATGCAGGATTCAGCTTCCATTGCATTAATTGGGGTAGAACACATGGCACCAGTGATAATTCTCAATGCTCTGTTTTGGATTATATCTAGTTTTCTTAAAAGACTAACATTGGTGTTCATATATGCTACACTGCTGTAATCAAAGTGGCTTCTAACTATACTTTTATAAAGCATTGATAGAATTTTGGGATCAGAGCCCCAGTGTACACCAGCCAGAGATCGTAAGATATTTAGTCCCTGGCTAGCACTTTTAATCAAGTGATTAATATGTAGTTCAAATGTTAATTTTGAATCTAAATGTATTCCAAGGAATTTCTTATTATGCAGCCATCTTATAGGTACATTATTGAACAAAACTGGAGAAAACTTATCTGTATCTATATGTTTCCTTGAAAAAATCATTGCTCCACTTTTTCCAATGTTAATTGTGAGGTTCAAACTATTATAGAAACATTGAATTTGTGACAAACCATTGTTTAGGTTTCTAACAACACTATTTACATCTTTATTTACACTATATAAAACTATATCATCAGCAAAAAGAAGGCATCTAACTGATGAATCTGTTAGATAATTGTTAATTTGAGATGTGTAAACCCCAAATAATAAGGGAGATATTGGGGAGCCCTGCATTGTTCCTTTATAAACATTTCTAGGGCCATGTAATATGTTATTATACCTTATATACATTGTTCTGTTGTATAAAAAGTTAAAAATCCATTTACAAAATTTTCCAGGTATACCATTATCACTGAGGATTTGGATAAGAATAGATGGGTTAACATTATCAAAAGCACCACAGACATCAAGAAAAGTACAAGCAGTATATGAATGACTATGGAATGAATTTTTTATATCAGTAATAAGGGACACATAATTTTCCACTGCACTTCTACCTTTTCTGAAACCAAACTGCTGTTTAGGTAAAATGTTATGTTTTTCACAATAAAACTCTAATCTCAATTTAAGCATATTTTCAAATAATTTACCAATACAAGATGAAAGGGATATAGGTCGGTATGAATTGCAATCATTTTCTGGCTTATGTGCTTTTAATATTGGTATAACACATTGTGTTTTCCAACTGTCAGGGATGTACTCTTTATTCCATAGAAAATTATAAACTTTTAACAAAACGTTGAGTGCCTTAGGATGAAGTTTACATATAAAATTATAAGAAAAGTCATCAAGGCCAGGTGTTGTATCTTTTCTTGATTTCAGAGATGCCTTAAGCTCCTTTATGTTAAAGGATTGTATCAAAAAGCATGCTTCAATATTACCAATGGATTCAAAGATGTTATTTAACCTTGATGTGTTTATATCCTTTTCAGGAGGAGATATTGGGGCATATTTATCTAAGAAGGATGATATCCAGCCATCATTTTTAGAAGGCTTTTTGCTAGCAGCACACTTGAATCGACGAATGTGATTCCAAATCATACTTATAGGTGTGTATCTATTAAATGCCTCACACAAAGATCTCCAACTATCTTTCTTTTTCTGACTAATTATTCTCTTTTTAAGGGCATCAACTTTTTTATACTCAATATAATTATTTATTGTAGGATCTGATCTATAGCTTCTTAAAGCTAATTTCCTATTATTTACAGCAGTAGCACATTCCTTATCCCACCATGGCACTGGTTTTTTAATTTTATACTGATAATTATTTACAACCTTAGGAATACAGTTTTGTTTGAGATTATTCAATATGTTACAGAAGGAATTATATACATGTAAAGGATTATTATCAAAGTATAATACATCAAATGCTTTTTCACTTTCAGAAAAATACTTGGACCAGTCAGCTTGTTTATAGTTGTAGCGCTCAGTAGGAGTGCCAAAAACATACTTCTCAATAGATGTCTGAATATCAATCAAAGTGGGAAAATGATAGCTACCCATTGGATCATCATGTACCTTCCAGTCGCATAATGGAGCTATGTTGGGGCTAATACAAGATATGTCTATAGCCGAGGGGTTATGGCTGATGGTGCCTACAGTAGTTGGAGATCCTGTGTTTAGTATGCAGAGATCACATTCATCTAACAAGTTATAGATATCATTACCATCATCATTGGTGTGAAGTAAACATACTTTTTTGAGCTCCCAGTTTTTAATTTAATTTAAAGTTTATAATTTTGTTTTATACATAGTCACAGTTGTTTATGATTGAGTAAATCACATAAACCTACCAGCAAAATAACTTCCATTCTTTGAACACTGCACATAACACTACCAACAGCCACATTGATCATCATGGATTTAGTCAAGAAATCTATTGAAGAAATGTCTGCACTTTTCAACACAAGGATGGCTGAATTCCAATCAGAGCTTCAACGGACTGTCCCATCTGCCTCAGGAACTACTTCATCTCTAGCAGAGGACTTTGCAAGTTTCCGCACTTTTGTAGTCTCCGCATTAGATATGCTGCACAAGCAAGTTGAACTTCTCACAAAGGAAGCTGATCGACGCGAAATGCGGAGTCGGCGGCGCATGCTTCTTCTGTATGGTGTGGCTGAGCATAAGGATGAAGTCGTGGCAGATTTGTTTATCAACTTGGCGAACCATCAACTCAAACTAACTTCTCTGTGTAGACAGGATATTGGTCGTATTCACCGAATTGGCAGACCTGTGGATGGCAAACACAGACCTATTTTGGTCAAGTTCTTTGATGCAACAGTAAGAAACAAGGTCTGGTTTGCCAAAAAACTGCTAAAGAGTAGTGGTGTAACTTTATCCGAGTTCCTCACAAGTGAACGCCACTCTCTGTTTATGACGGTGAGGAAGAGATATGGTGTCAACAGGTGCTGGACGCAGGGTGGCATCATTTACGTATTAGATCCAGACAACAAACGACAACGGGTGAATTGTCTTAACGATATGGACAAGATTCCGGTCTCGATTCCTGTGTCTTCGGTATCAGAGAGTAAAACAGAAGAAACAGTCGGTGATAAAATTGATAATCCAGCCGAGGTCTTAGCCGTCTCCAAAGTGCAAGATAGGTCTAAACGACGTGTTATCAAAAAGTAAATATGTTTAAAGTGCACTTCACCAACGTTTATACATTAGCGTCAGCGG